GCCAAAATAAATTCACAACTAGAAATTATACAAAAACAACAATTAGAAATCCAAAAGATAAACAACAAGATTTCAGAAATGGACAGTGTCATAGAAAGGCTGAAGAGTAGATTTGAAACGGTGGAAGACAGGATTAACGGAATTGAAGACAAACACTTGGATACAACTCTGTTTGAGGAAACCTCAGAAAAAAGAACAAAGAAAAATGAAGAGACCCTGACAATTATGTGGGATACAATCAAAAGCAAAAATTTGCGAGTGATTGGAGTTCCAGAACAGGAGGATAAAACAGAAAACACAGAGACAGAGAGGATCACTGAAGAACTGCTGACAGAAAACTTCCCCAATATCATGAAAGATGAAAAGCTCACCATCCAAGAAGCTCAACGAACCCCATATAGGATAGACCCCAAAAGAAAATCACCAAGGCATATCATAATCACATTCGCCAAAACCAAGACAAACAAAGAATCCTGAGAGCAGCTTGTGGAAAAACAGAAAGTCACATACAGAGGACAAACAATAAGACTAAGCTCAGATTATTCGGCAGAAACCATGCAGGAAAGGAGGCAATGGGATGACATATATAAAACCTTGAAGGAAAAAAATTGGCAGCCAAGAATAACACATCCTGCAAAACTCTCGTTCAAATATGATGGTGAAATTAGGACATTTCCAGATAAACAGAAATTAAGGGACTATATAAAAACCAAACCAAACTTCCAAGAATTATTAAAGGGAGATCTTCGATCTGAGAACAAACAACTTCAGCTCACAGGCTGAATCTAGGACACAGGATCATACCAGCCAGATACCAATCCAGGAAATGAACTCTCAAGGACTATCCAAAACCAAAAGAAATACAACAGGGAATCAGAGCAGTTAACCTGTAAGTGACAACAACATTAGAACAATAAAAGAGGGAAAAAAACAGTGTAGGTATAGAACCTTCTAATGGAGAGGAAGGCAAGGCAATACCAAGTAATAATATACTGCTTCAAACTTAGAAAGACGAGTTAATTTCATGGTAACCACAAAGAAAGTTAACAAACATACTCATCAAAATAAAGAGGATAAACAAAGACTCAGTAAAAACAAAACCTACAAAAACAAAAGAAATGAAAAAAAAATCCACAAACAAAAGGAATTCGGCACAGGAGAGTAAGAAGAACAAAGAAAACATCAGCACCACAAAAAAAAGCACTACAACCAAAAAAAAAAAGTCCTCCAAGTTCGAGAAGGGAGAGTGTTGACAAGTCATGGGATTGTTAACCAATGTCATAATATATGTATCGTCTGTTTAATGAAAAACAATTTGTTCTATAAACCTTCATCTAAAGTACAATAAGAAGAAACTTTTTATACAGGTTAATACAGAATAGAATTGTAGCACTGTGAGGCTCATTGGATATGGGGGCCAAGAAAGAGAAAGAAGTAAAAGATAGCCTTGACATTCTCAGCCTGAGTAACTGAAAGGATGTTTGTTAACTTAAATACATACATAGATAGAAATACATCTATTGTTTTAATTATTTTTCTTGTTGTTGGGTGTTGTCAAATTGATTTCAACTCATAGCTACTCCATGTGACAGAGTAGAACTGCCCAATATGGGCTGTAATCTTTATAGAATCAGATCTCTCAGACTTTCTCCCACAGACCAGCTGGGTGGGTTCCAACTACCAACCTTTCAGTTAGCAGCTGGGCTCTTAACCACTGCACCAGTGGGACTCCTTTAATTGTTTTTAAGATAATGAATAATGTTTGAGGTGAGAACTATTAGATCTAGCTAGAACTTGAGTTTGGGGTGTCAGTGGCACATCTGGTTGAAATGTACAAGCTTTAAAAAATTCTATTAAAATTCCACTGTTATTCATAAATCAGATAAAAAACAAAACTAAACCCACTGATTTCAAGTCGATTTCGAGTTATGGCGATTTCATGTGTTACACACTAGAACTGCTCCATAGGGTTTGCTAGGCTGTAATCTTTATGTAAGCAGATTGCCAGGCCTTTCTTCTATGGTGCTGCCAGGTGAGTTCAAACCACCAACCTTTAAGTTAATACTCAAGTGCAAACCGTTTGCACCACCCAGGGACCTTCATAAATCAGATATATAACACAATTTTTGTATAATGGAATTTCTATACAGAATTACAAAATAGAACTGCATCATATATTTTCCTTAATGAGATATTATAGAAACATTGATTAGCTTATCTTTTTATGTCATGTGCATTGATTTCACTCTGGCTAAAAGATACTTCCACATTTCAAATATTTGAGAGAGGAATCTCCCTTGAAATCCTGCAGAGAAAAGTCCATGAAATCCATTCCTCTGCCCCTTGCCAGCATATCAGATGTGCACCTCAGAAGCGATTTCACAGCAGTTTTAAGCATTCAGTATCTTTTCTGGGATTCAAAACACTGCAGTCTCAGTAATGTTCAGAAATGTGTTTCAAATTAAAATGCAAATTTGAAAAGACTCATGTCAAGTTGAAATGAGTGACTAGTGGACTTCATTTTGCATTTAGAAAAAATTCTGTTTCAGTTATCATCTACACATGATGCACACTTAACACGGAGAAATTTATTTTTCCCAATGGGATGGAGAAGTACATCTTTTGAAAACTAAAACAGTGTCTCTGGGAACTCATCCAAAATGGCAGCCATTGTGTAGCAAATTTCAGAAGAGACACAAATGCTTGAGAAACCTCAAAGCAGCTGCTGCCTTCTGAAGAAATTACCAGAAATGCCAATCAGAGGTTTGTCCCAAATGAGAATGACTTATTGCTCCATGTAAAGCGTGAAGCCTTTTTTATTATTATTCTGGCAGATAATGTTGTGAATAATTTTATAGCCTGTGGGTTTCTGAGGGATCTAGAGCCAGAATGAAGGTTGCACCAAATCCAGGAGGTCTTGGTCTGAGGTAGCATCTGAATAGAATAAATTTAAACATGGCTAATGGGATGAGTAAAACCTTGAGTCTTAAGACTGTCAAAGATTCTCATTTCTTAAGATGTAGACAGAATTTAAAAACAATCCTCCTCCTACCAACTGCTTAACGCAAATTTAATGGAATTTTGTCAAGACAGTCATTAACAAATGTTTTGAAAAATATTTCAAAAGAACCACTTGAAGAGTCATATGGCATAAGACCTGCTTAAGAGATGTTCACATCCACAAAGCATAACTTTCACATCTAACGTAGACTGTTACTCATTTTTTTTTTAAATTTTCCTCAATCAGGAAATAATAATAATCATAATAAAATATAATAATGTACTTGGGGAAAAAAAAAAAAATCAAAGATTACAGCCTTCAGTATGGATTGCACCTCAACATAAAGAAAACAAAAATCCTCACAACTGGACCAATAAGCAACATCACAATAAATGGAGAAAATACTGAAGCTATCAAAGATATCATTTTACTTGGATCTATAATCAACGCACATGGAAACAGCAGTCAAGAAATCAAACGACATACTACACTGGGCAATCTGCTGCGAAAGACCTCTTTAAAGCATCAAAAAGCAAACGTAAAAGTTTGAGGACTAAGATGCGCCTGACTCAAGCCATAGTATTTTCATTCCCCTCATATGCATGCAAAAGATGGACAATGAATAAGGAAGACTGAAGAAGAACCGACACCTCTGAATAACGGTGTTGGCGAAGAATACTCTTAGATGAACGATCTGTTTTGGAAGAAGTACAGCCAGAATGCCCCTTAGAAGTGAAGATGGCACTCATCTTACATACTTGGGACATATTATCAGGAGGGACAAGTTCCTGGAGAAGGACATCATGCTTGGTAAAGTAGAAGGTCAGTAAAAAAGAGGAAGACCCTTGGTGAGATGGACTGACACAGTGGCTGCAACAATGGGCTCAAACATAGCAACAACTGTGAGGATGGCGAGGACTGGGCAGTGTTTTGTTCTGTTGTACTTAGTGTCGTCATGAGTTGGAACCGACTCGACGGCACCTAACACACCATACTTAAGCCATTAAATTTTTAAAGTTTGTTGAACACCTTCAGCTTCTCTACTCTAGTTTACTGAAAAAGACTTCAGGTTTCTGCTATTACAAAGCCTTTCTGTTATATTTTACCACTATTAATACCATGAAAAAGAGTTAATGTTATCATCACAAAAGATATCTCTCAATTGTTTACTCAATAGCTGTAGCAGGACTTCAAAAGCTGTCCTTACTTCAACGAGAATTATCTTCTTATCAGTTCTCAAATCATCTCCAACCATCTGTAGTTTGTTATACTTAGTTGCTCTTAATAGAAACTCTTTAAAAACTGCCATCTGAGACTGATAAGGAAATATATGGAGGCTTGATTCTGAAATAAAACACATTTAACACAACTTATTTTCAACCAATTATATATACATCAATATTATATATACATATGTATACATACACATACATTGTTGTTGGTAAGCGCTGCCGAGTAGATTTTGAATCACAGTGATCCCATGTGACAGAGTAGAAATGCCCCATAGGGTTTTCTAGGCTGTAATATTTATGGATGTAGATTGCCAGGTCTTTCTGTCATGGAGCTGCTAGATGGGTTCAAGCCACCAACCTTTTGGTCAGCAGCCGAGTGCTTAAATGTTGCACCACCAGGGCTCCTTTTCATATACAAATATACGTATACACATTTACATACACAAAATGGAAGTTCATAATAGTATAGACAATTTTTTACTAAGGAAAACTTGTTCAAGTTTAAAATAATACATTCATTTCAAAAGACAAAAGTCACCATGATTAATAGAAATTTTTCTATACCAATGAATTAAATGACTTCAGAACACAGCTGTCAGTACAAAATATTTAGAAAATGACTTCTCAGTGAAAATGAGAAATCTAGTAAAAATATTTAAGACTTTGGCCTACTTAATTAAGATACTCCAAATTAGTACATGACTATAAATAACCTTCAAAGACAAAGGTTTAACAACAAAACCAGAATGACTGATTAGTGAACTTGGGAATAAAGAAAGTTCTCTGAAGACACATTTTATATAGAAAACTGTTTAATGAATACTTATCAGACTGTCAAAAGTAACATTTGTATTTAGAAAGCAGTAAAAACCCCAGGAGCACAGCATACTAGCAGCATTTAAGGTTGTGCATATGAAAGATGGTATACAAAAGAGCCTAGAGAAAGGATTTTGAAGAATACTCCACATTAAAATAAAATTGTCCTTCTACAGAACCCCTTTCACTTCAAAGTGGCCTAGGAGATTGGGCTACCTCAGTCTAGCCACCTATAGTATATACGTAAGAAAAAAAAAAACTATCAAAGTTAAAAACGATAGTGCTGGTGTATATAAGCACATATATGAAAATAAATCTTTAAATTTATACTATTATTTTTGCATGTTTGTTACACAAGGCCCTACTTTCAAATTCTAAAGACAGTCTTCTTATAGTTTAACAAAAAAACCCAAAACCCACTGCTGTCAAGTCAATTCCCACTCACAGCGACACTACAGGACAGAGTAGAACTGCCCCACAGGGTTTCCAAGGAGTAGCAGGTGGATTTGAACTGCCAACATTTTGGTTAGCAGTCGAACTCTTAACCACTGCCACCAGGGCTCCTCTTGTAGTATAGGAATGGCATTATATACTTTCCTCTCAAAAACATATCCTTAATAGAACTTTAGGAATCTTAAGTACACGGATGGTGGTTCATTTCAAAGCTCCATTATATATAGGCTTTCCCCACTATATCCACTACTATCACAGCAAACCTTACCAGGACTAAGTATCTCCTTGAAATCATCTTTTCGGAAGTCTGGTAAAACTGGATTAATCCACTCTTGTACTTGAATACCATGCTCCTTTGACAGTATTTTTAGAGTTGTTGTCTTTCCACATCCAGGAGGACCTGTTATTAATAAAATAGATCCACCCTAAAACCAAATATACACATTAATTAAAGATCAAAATCACTGGGATGCTAGAATAGTATTTTTGAATTTTCACTCTCAATTCAACCTCTATATAGACCTCTCACAGTAAAATATATCCTGAGATTATACAAGTATAACATAGGGCATAGGGTTACTATAAGTCAGAATCGACTCAACAGCAATGGTTTTCTTTTTTATAATATTCTTATGAGAAGATCTCAATTTGGATTCAGATTCTTTAAGAAATGTACATTAAGTAACATATTTACCAGCGATTAGAGAGACACTAGAGGTTGTGAGTCCCAGCACCTTTCTCTCATATATTTGATCTGATGAAAAAGTTAAATAAAATATACTGGGAAGATTTCCTACGTTCAATAGTGGGCTATAATCCTTGCTCGTTTGTTTATATTTATTAACTAGTGTAGGCAAGGGCCTGTGTACTTGAACCCAGAAGACAGTCAGCTCCACTTCTTAAAATGGCAGTGCTCTAAAGTGAGACCTGTTTATTCATTAATTGAAAATACCATTTAAAAATACATGTCAACAAGGACTAGAAGGCAGAAATGGAAAGGAAAGCTGGTGATAGGGAACCCAAGGTTGAGTAAAGACAGTGTTGACATGTAGTGGGGTTCTTAACCATTGTCATAGGGCAATACATGTACTGTTTAACGGGAAACTATTTTGTTCTGTAAACCTTCATCTAAAGTGAGAATAGCAGCACAACTGGAAGAACGTAATCAACGTCACTGAATTGTACATGCAGAAATTTTTGAAATGGTGTATCTTTGGCTATGTATATTTTCACACACACACACAAAAAAAGTTCTCCAAGGCCGAGAAGGGAGTGTATTGACATGTCGCAGGGTTGTTAACCAATGTCATAAAACAATATGTGTACTGTTTAATGAGAAAACATTTGTTCTGTAAACCTTCACATAAAGTACAATGAAAAAAAAAAAACGTGTTGTCACGGATTGAATTGTGTCCCCCCAAAATATGTCAACTTGGCTGGGTCATGATTCCCAGTGTTGTATGACTGTGTAATCTGATGTGATTTCCTTATGTGTTGTAAATTCTATCACTATGATGAGATTATATGTGATCTCCTTATGTGTTGTAAATTCTATCACTGTGATGAGGTTATACTGATAAGCTCGACAAGATTAGTGTCTTGATGCAATCTCTTTTGAGATATAAAAGAGAGAAGCGAGTAGAGACACATAGGAACCTCATACCACCAAGAAAGCAGTGCCGGGAGCAGAGTGCGTCCTTTGGACCTGAGGTTCCTGCGCTGAGATGCTCCCAGACCAAGGCAAGACTGATGCATCACAAGGACTTTCCTCCAGAGCCAACAGAGAGAGAAAGCCTTGTCCTGGAGCGGATGCCCTAAATTTAGACTTGTAACCTACTGGACCGTGAGAGAATAAATTTGTCTTGTTAAAAGCCATCCACTTGTGGTATTTCTGTTGGAGCAGCACTAGATGACTAAGACGTGTGAATATTTTTGGATGATAAAAATCTTTTAAAATTGTGGTGATAGATGCACAACTCTCTGAATATACTAAAAGCCACTGAACTGTACACTTCAAATGGGTGAATTGTATGGTATGTGAATTACAGTGCAATAAAGCTGTTAAAAACTACATACATATGTATATGGAAACCCTGGTGGCATAGTGGTTAAGAGCTATGGCTGCTAACCAAAATGTTGGCAGTTCGAATCTACCAGGCACTCCCTGGAAACTCTATGGGGCAGTTGTACTCTGTCCTACAGGGTCACTGTGAATCGGAATCAACTCAGTGGCAAGGGGTTTGGTTTTTTGGGTCATATATATATGCTTGCCAATAACAAGTGTTAGTGAGAATATGGAGAAATTGGAACACTCATATTCATACACTGCTGGTAGGAATGTAAAAATGGTACAGTCACTTTGGAAAACAGTTTGGTTGTATGTTATCAAGTTGATTCTAACGCATAGTGACCCTAAAGAACAGAGTAGAACTGTCCCACAGGGTTTCCTAGGCTGTAACCTTTACAGGAGCAGATCACCAGGTCTTTACTCTTGTGGAGCCAGTGGGTGGGTTTGAACTGCTGACTTTTTGGTTAGCAGCCAAGTGCTTAACCATGTACCACCAGGGTTCTTTGCTAATGGGTATGGGGCTTCTTTTGGGGGGTGATAAAAACGTACTAAAATTAGGTTAGTGATGGTTATATAACTCTGGGAATATACTAAAAATGACTGGATTATACACTTCCAATGTGTAAGTTTCACGATGTGGATTACGCCTTAATAAAATCATTAAATGCGTCTCTCCTATATATTTATACATATATACACATACATACACACACACACACACACACCATATTTATTTCTGGTGCATTTCAAGTCTAGGTATATATTTGAGATGATCAATAAGCAGCAGGGCTGGTAGGCTTTAAAGGCGTGGCTGTTTTACATTGTGGAGAAATGTGTTAAGTTCAAAGTTGCATACTCAGTGCCTAACAGAGTGCTGGGCCATGGTTAAGTGCTCACTAAATGCAGCCTGGTTGAATGAATGAACAAATGAATAAATGGAATAAGGTATATAAATGAGATATAGACCACTGATTATCAATGGATTATACAACTACAGAATCAGGGTGGTGGTAGAAATCTTGTCATTTCTGATAAAAATTTTCAATGAGATAGGAACAATATATTCTGTTTCTTCAGTTTTTATTATCCTTTGGTTGAGCGCTACAAATGCCTTCCTGCTACTGAAATCAGAAAGCAAACACAAAAAGATGGAATAACCTAAGTGTTCATCAACAGATGAATGGATAAACAAATTATGGTACATACATACAATGGAATTCTACACAATGATAAAGAACAATGATGAATATGCAAAACATCTCACAACATGGATGAATCTGGAGGGCATTATTCTGAGTGACATAAGTCAATCACAAAAGGACAAATACTGTATGAGACCACTATTATAAAAACTCAAGAAAAGGTTTACACACAGAAATAATCTTTGACACTTATGAGGGAGGAGAGGGGTGGGGAGGGGAAATCACTAACTAGATGGTAGGTAAGTGTTAACTTTGGTGAAGGGAAACACAGTACACAATACAGGGGAAGGCAGTACAACTTGACCAAGGCAAAGTCACAGATGTTTCATAGACACATCCAAACACCCTGAGGGACTGAGTTACTGGGGCTGAGTGCTGGGGACCATGGTATCGGGGGACATCTAGATCAACTGGCATAACGCAGTTCATAAAGAAAATGTTCTACATTCCACTTTGGTGAGTAGCGTCTGAGGTCTTAAAAGCTTGCTAGCAGTCATGTAAGATACATCTACTGGTCCTATCCCATCTGGAGCAAAGGAGAATAAAGAAAACCAAAGACACAAGGGAGATATTAGTCTAAAGGACTAATGGACCACAAGTACCACAGCCTCCACTAACCTCAGACCAGAACAACTACATAATGCCTGGCTACTACCACCAACAGTGCTGAGAGGGATCACAATACAGGGCCCCAGACAGAGTGGGAGAAAAATGAAGAATAAAATTCAAATACACACAAAAAAAGACCAGAATTACTGGTCTGACAGAGACTAGAAGAACCCTCGAGACTATGGCACCTGGATACCCTTTTATCTCAGAACTGAACTTACACCCAAAGTTCACCCTTCAGCCCAAGATTAGAAGCTCTATAAAACAAATAACACATGTGAGGAATGTGCTTCTCAGTTCAATCATGTATACGAGACCAAATGGGCAACACCTGCCCAAAATTAAACACGAGAAGGCAGAAAGGGACAGGAAAAATGAAAGAATGGAAATGGGGAACCCCAAGTGGAGAACGGGAGAGTGTTGACACATTGCAGGGATTACAACCAATGTCACAAAACACTTTGTGTATAAATTTTTGAATGAGAAACTAATTTGTGCCATAAACTTTCACCTAAAGCACAATTAAAAACAGAAAAAAAATCTGGAAATACATGGTTAAAGAAAGAAAGCAAAGCAAAGCATTCTGCTACATGCAGATATACTGCAATGATCTAAGAGTGGACCAAAACTGCTAGAAAGAAAGACTTCAAAATAACTATTATAAAACCCAACACATCACCATTGGTAGCTGCATAACTGATATCTGACATATCTTACCATCCAACCACAGAAGTCAACTTCTTCAGTCATTCGGGGAGAAATTTTGCAATTGTTATCTTACTATGTTTACCAGGATGTTACACAGTTAATCTTTTAAGACAGCATTACTAAGAATTTTTTTAATGGTCAAGGTAGGAAACTGGTGGTGCTGGCTTTTGACACCTTCTGGGTTAAAAATCACTTTAGCCACTGTCATGGAGCCTTGACTGCTCATTCATGCACTGTTTAGAACTGACTCAATTACTAAACAACATCTTGACCCTGTCCACAAATAGTCTGTTGGTCCACTTAAAGTAAAGGTGAATGGTCTTTCAGACATTTGTCCTCAACCGTCTCCTCAACTTTCATAAAAGGATGTTATTCCTACCTCAGGCTCATCAGATAATTATTAAAGCATATGAATTTATATTTAATTCCCAATATACTGCTGCTTTCTAACCTTTTTCAAATCATGGCACACAGAAAAAGTGATCATTATTTGCTTCGCAATCTGCTGCTTGAGGCCAAAGATGACTGGTCTGGAGGTCCTGCTCTGCCTGGCCACTCTGAGGGCTAAGTGCACCTGTATCTTAGGGCACACAGGCTGGCAAGTTTGACACAGACTATCTGCACTTCATGCACTTGTGTCAAACACAAGGCCACACAATCATTATCAAAGGCTCAGGTGAGAAAAACATTATCTATATAAGACATCCCAAAGGATACGGTCAAGAACAACATTCACTATTTTCGTGGCAGCAAAAAAGAAACGTCTCTCAAGCTTTAGGAACAGTTGTGCTTCCACTGTATTTTTTTTTTTTTAATAGACATCATGAAACTGATTAATTCCCTTTGTGTCAGCCACGAGAAGTTGAGAATTAAAAGTTTAATGTTCTTTCGCAAATGTACGAGACTTCCCAGCATGCACAATACCCAAATCACTATGCTTTATTGAATTACTATATTTTTCCTACCCTTTTTTCTTTTTGCTCTGGGTTTCCTGATTTTAAAATATATACAAACTACATGTCCTTTTGTAAGGTACATTCAATCCTTTTTGCAATAAAGATGGTGAAGAGAAAGAGCGCAATCGCACGTGTGTGTGTGTATACTTACAAACGTACAAATAAGCAGAAAAATATATGGTTTTATTCTTTCTACTGAAAGATCAATAAAATTTCTCCCTCCATTTAAAGCCAATGTAACTGTCAGTGCTACTGCTATAGGAGCATAAAAGCAAACATTAGCATTTTGTGTTCTCTTTGGCTATTGTAGGTGCTGCAACTGCTTCTGGTGTATAAGTAGTTTATGGAACTTTCAGACAGATCAGTTTTATAAAAAAAGAGGAAGCCCTAGCTTGGGCAGCCATGTATTTTTCTCATTATCTATAAATTTACACATATACCTAAGTTCATCCAACTGGTAAAATAACAACAATAGCAATACATGGAGGTTTAAGACATGATATTGTTTATACTGAGAGTATTACTATGGGAGAGAACACAATAGACACTGGAAAATATAAACCATTAAGTGAGCTGACCAAAAACAAATCAATCAGAAAAGGCTTGGATATAAGAGGTGCATCAGGGAAACTGCCCCAGAATCTATACTCGGAGAAGGGAGATGAGAAAGATTTCCATGAGCCATCAGACGAATACAGTACTGTGAGGCATGGAACATCCCCTTGCAGTAAACAATTTGGCCTTTGGTCATGATCCTGAGAGCAGGACGATATCTGATGCCAATGAGTGGGGGCTGACCAAACCAAGAGGGACTACCTGGGAGCCCAGTGCTGACTAAGCATGATGCAGTGAGGTCAATAAAGGCCTTGGAAGACGGAGACTCAGTGGAGCCATTCCCTGGCGTTTGTTAGTTGTTCCAACAGATCATCAGATCTAAGAAAGAGAGGGTGCCAGTACCTACTGACCTAGCCCCAGGTGAATAGGGATGAGAGAGAAAGGGCTGTGCTGGCAGCTGGGGTCTGGAGTGACCAGGGGAGGGAAGCTCAGATTTCTACAGGACGCAGGAAGAAAGGGGCTGTTTTAGATGGAAAAAAACCTAAGAGACATAACAATCAAATGTAATGTGTGGTCCCTGAACAAACCAGCCGTAAAAGACATTTTGGGGACAACTGGAAAAATATGAATATGAATTGACTATAATATTAGAGAATTACAATTAATTTTGTTAGCTGTAATTATGATATATATAATTAGAAAAATGCCCTTTAAAAAAAAAAGTTATCTAAAAACCTGACTGAAATATCGTGTCTACTGTTGTTGTTAGTTGCTGTTGAGTTGGCTTTGACTCATGGTGACCTTATACATAATAGAGTGAAATGTTACCCAGTCCTGTGTCATCTTTTATAATTTACTTAAAATACTTAAAAGGGAAAATGACAGATATATGAGTATTCACTTGCTATTCTCTTTTTTTTTCTGTTGTGCTTTAGATGAAAGTTTACAGAGCAAATTAGTTTCGCATTAAACAATTAATACACATACTGTTTTGTGACATTGGTTGTCAACCCCGCAATGTATCAACACTCTCCCCTTCTCAACCTTGGGTTCCTCATTTCCATTCATCCAGCTTTCCTGGCCCCTCCTGCCTTCTCATCCTTCCCCTGTGTTGGTCTCGTATACATTGTTGAACTACGTGTGTTAGTGTTTGTTTTACAGGCCTGTCTAATCTTTCGCTGAAGGGTGAACCTTAGGAGTGCCTTTAGTACTGAGTTTAAAGGGAGTTCGAGAGCCATACTCTTCGGGTTTCTCCAGTCTCTGTTGAATCAGTAAGTCTGGTCTTTTTTTGGTGAGTTAGAATTTTGTTCTACATTTTTCTCCAGCTCTGTATGGGACCCTGTATTGTGATCTCTATCTGAGCAGTCGGTAGTAGTAGCCAGGCACCATCTAGCTGTGCTGGACTCAGTCTGGTGGAGGCTACGGTATCTACCTTCTTGTATTTTTCTTTTTTTTTTAAACACATTAGTATCATCAATTTTACTTGTATGAGAAATGACTGGTCCACTGGACTTATCTATATAACTCAGTAGTAATTACTGCTATTTCTTGACATATTTCCCTGTATACTTGAAGAGTTTCAAAATAAAAAGTTAAAAAAAAGAAACAGAGAGGAGAGGATATTCTAGCTCGGTGGGGGTGGGGAGCAAAGGTAACTGGAGAATTAGGAAGTGAAACAAAAAACATCGGACTAAAATGAATAATGACTGTTATAGGCTATCTTTAGTACAAAAACTAACATGTAATTTGCCTGCTTGCTTCTGTGGAAAATAATCTGATGTGATAAATATACTAACATCCTAACTAATTTACTGTGCGTTATACTGATGACAGAAGCTAAGAGAGAAAAAGAGGTAGAAGGGGAAAATTCAAAGTCTCTGAGTCTTTACATCAAAGAAGCATTTAATGTTAAATATCTTTAGACACATTTCTTATTTAATTACCTGTTTTGGTTGCCTTTCTAAGACTTGGGCTTTTAACCAGGTTTCAACTTCTTCAATTTTCTTTTTATGCACAGCAAGTTCATGCTAAGATAAAAATTTCAAGTTTAAAGACAAAACATTTTAATTCGAGGATTTTTGATGCATTAACTCAAAACCCCAAACCCACTGCCATCGAGTTGATTCTGACTCATAGTGACCCTATGGGACAGAGTAGAACTGCCCCGTAAAGTTTCCAACGAGCGCCTGGTGGATTCGAACTGGCCAACCTTTTGGTTAGCAGCTGTAGATTAATCTAAACCGATATTTTTAATGAAAAAAATAGCAAACAAGTAACACGATATATTCTAATAAAAAAGGTCCCTTGCATTATAATAGTTTGTATTACCATGGGAGAACTCTATTCTTTAAGCTGGCACCATTATATGATAGCTTTGGGCAAGTGTGCAATTTACAATTTTTTTTAAAATTCCAGAAATACATTTTGGAAGGCAATTGGGAAGAATACTGCATTTAGCAAAAATAAATAAATAAATAAATAAACAGATGAAATCTAGGTTGGGGTTAAATTAAATCTAAAAAAAATAACCAATAGTACAACTTCAGAATAACTGTTGAGAAAACCTGAGTCTTGGAACATGAAAAAATTCTGAAGTTACTGTTTTATTCTAATTTACTTAGAATGAAGATTTTTATAAGTAATAATCTAAAAATATATATCCCTCTCCTTCCCATCTTCCCTGACTGACCTGGAAATTAAGTCACCCAGACATGTTTGCATGCTATTTAGTACCTGAGTTTCTGGCTTATATTTATCCACCCATGGTTCATTTTCAGGCAGATAGTCTTTTGAATTTTCTAGGCCACAGATCTGTTCTAAGGAAGACAACTTTCCTTTTTTTCTAGCTGGAAATCTATTTTCTAATGTGGAAGGCACATTTTTTCTTCTGTAACTTGAGTTATTCACACCTAATGATGAGGCAGTAAGAGTAGTAGAGATGTTTGTATTCTCTGAAAAATCATCAAATGATGGGTCTACCCAGTCTGCTACCTGAAAAACAAGAGGCCATGTAAATACCAACACATTGTCCCCATCTATTCCCCATATAACTGAACTTCAGAAACAAAATATTCATTTGAAACATTTAAAATAAAAATCTCACAGATAAGCTCTTTACTTAAAACCAGCTCTATTCGTATTATTTTTCTACTTCACAGTAAGTGCAAATGCGTAACTGTATACTAGTCTACAGAAAGGATGAATAGCATATGAAACAGTAAAGAATACAAACTTAATTCTTATTATTAATTATAATCCTCTCAGGTACTAATAGACTAATTTTTTAAAAACTTATTTGTAGGACTGAAACAAAAATATTAAAATTGCTAATTAAAAAATGAAGCAAAAAAAATAGTAATAATAAAGAAATGAACTAGTATCTTAACCTGGCCTAGGTTAATACATTCACAAGTTAAGGACCATTTCATACATTCAAATAATCCATATCAACTTTAAGACTTTGAAAATACAGGCTAAGAATCCTAATGCTATGAATAATCTGTAATTATGACTTGATTATACTTTTCTTCAATGTATAAAGCAACTAATATTTTATAAAAGTGAGGCAGGCTTTCCAGGGAGGATGAGATTTGTCCTTCAGAAATGCCTAACAAAAAAAGCACTGGGAAAACAGCAGGAAAATCAATGCATTCTATTTCATGTTCTTCTGGCCTACAGAAACTGTTGACCTCTAAATTTACCTCTACTATTTCCTTTTCTTTAAAATCCTTTGTTAAGTGCACAGAGAAAAATGCTGAACTCAGCAATTTTAATCTCAAAATATTTAGGAGTATTAAAAAGGTTCTTCTAATAATTTCTGCATATAAAATGTTCCTTAAACATTTTATAGCTTTATTCTTTACATAAATGTGGACTCCCACTTACTGACAAAAAAAAAGAAACATAGCGAAGTTAAATAATCTACTTAAAGATCAGAGAAAATTAGAACCACCACTCAGGAAATAGATACCTTGCATGAGTATGACACCACCTGATGCCTATCCCAGCCCACCTACCCCACTGCCTGACTTGATGCACACTGCACCACATGATTTCTAAGAGACAGGGCCTGTGGTTAAGCTATAACACCAACTATAACTCGTATGTTGTATTCAACTGTTTAGTCTTTTCTTTGTGACTGAGATTGTGAAGCTTTATTAAAATTAAGGTCGTGCTTTTAGTGTACAGTTGTTTCACAACTTGTAACTAGATTTGTTTTTTTGTTGTTTACACCACAGATACTGGGAACTATTATTTTGACAGTAGTGATAAGTCATTAAGAGCATACTCAAAAAGTTCTAATTCTTTTGGGGCAATTATTACATGATTATTTTAGTGTCTTACCTTTGTGGAAGATAGCTTTGGTCTAAGAAAAGTTTTTGACATTATAAACTTTGATAGCTCCCATCCATAGCATATAATCTGTAGTATGTTAAAATATAATTCACCTAGGGGGTAAAAAAAAGAAAAAAAAACCCCTCAAATTAAGAAAAACGGTAAACACAAAATGAATTATAAAACCAAAACCAAAGCTGTTGCCGTCGAGTTGATTCCGACTCACAGCAACCCTACAGGACAGAGTAGAACTGCCCAATAGAGTTTCCAAGGAGCAGTTGGTGGATTCAAACTGCTGATCTTTTGGTCAGCAGCCATAGCTCTTAACCACTACACCACTATGGTTTTCAGAATGAATTATAGTAATCAGTATATACCAACATAATCAACAACTTAATAAAGTTAAGACTCAAGAACTAATGAAAGAAAACAAATATAGGCGAACCAAAAAATCAAAATGCTAAAATAAATTTTAGTTTTAGTAACTGTGACTGTGTTAATTAACCCATTTTTGGTGTTATAAAGTTTTTCATACCAATTCAAAAATCTATTAGAGAAAACAGAAAAAAAACACGTATTTGTGTACCCACCTTTTGTCATTAAGAAAAATTAGATATTCTATTTGGGCAGTTTTTATACTGATATTAAACTTTTTCTCATCTCAAATTTAATTGCAATTCTTCATTTCCGAAATTGCAAAAAGCAGCATCAAAAAATGAATTCGGACTTATCACTTACTTTCGACAAAGAATTTAAATCTCACTGTAAAATTGTTTAACTGTTTTCCTTATTTGAACATGTTACTAAGAATTTTTTTTGGCAACACTGAGTTTTCAATTTTCAAAATTCTTAATGTCTAAGCAAACTAGTGAATTCACCAATTTTAAGTTAGCCACCAGAAGTTGTTTAAGGTCAACAAACCTATAAACTGGAAGGCGTACTAGACTTTTTTTTATAGTTTGGAGGCACACGTAGCTTATAATGTGTAAATTCTCCCACACACTAGAAAATAAAATAAAAATTGTTCACAATCAGAGAGGTTTTTAATCTAGAGTTTCAAAATGGTAGAGCAGCAGAAAAGACACCCATCTGAATAAATGTCGTTGGCAGGTCGACTTAAAAGATACAGACTTGTTATAATCAGGACTCAAGTCGCTCTTTGAAAACAAGAAGGCAGTTACCACCTTTAAAAACCATGTAACTGTCCCCGATGATGCCAGATTCCTGGAATGAAATGTCAGAGGTGGAAATGACCTTCAACAATATTCCTATCAGACCCTAAGCTCAAACATTCGTCCCACGTTGTGCTGTTAACGAGTGGTAAGCCAGGATAAGCTCGCGTTTCCCGGCTCCAGGCCAGGGCTCTGCACCCCCACCCCTCTGAGCCTCAGATGAGATGGGCAGGTCAGGAGGAGGGGTGACGGGAACAGGGAAGGCGTGAAGGCAGAGATGACCTGGCGTCTCTAGGACATATACATACATATATGAGCCGCAGGAGCGGTGGCCTTACTTTCTGGGAGCTGCATCCCATCGTGGGCAGAGAGGAGCGGAAGAGCCCAGGATCTGCTCCAGGTGGAAGGGCAGCAACCCGGCCGTACCCAGGCTCAGCGCCGAGCCTCTTGGAGGTCCCACCTCCCGGGGACCTTCCAGACCCGCCGGCGCTTCCGCGACGCGGCCCGAAGGGCGGGGGCCGCGACAGAAGCGGGTGACTTAGCCTTCCAGCGCACTGCCTGACCCGAAGTGCGAACCCAGAAAGTGGTCTTGTCTCGGACCCCGAGAGGGAAGCGTGTCATGAAGGCCAGGTAACCAATGGTCGGCGGACGGGCCGCAGAGGTGGGTCAGAAGCGCCGCACAGGAGCTCGAGGACCCCAGGGCCGCTGGCGCTTGCCACTGCCCGCCCCTTCCGGCTCCTCCCGGTTGTGCGTGGGGCGCGTGAGTCGGGGCGCTCGGAGCCTTCGCGGTGAGGACCATGTTGCAGCCGAACATCTTGCTCACCGGTCAGGGCGCGCGGCGGGGCGGGAATGACGGCGGGGCGGGCAAGGGATGCAGAGTGCTCTGGGCCTCAGGCTTCGAAGCAGGGTCTCAGTGTTCTGTTTCGGGGCTAGCCGGCCGCGTGGCGTGGCAGTTGTCAGGGCCTGCGAATTGGGCGGTCGCTAGCGTTGCGGGGGGGGGGGGGGGGAGCGGAGGCGAAGGGGAACAGAACGTTGATTCTGTTGGTCAGAGGCAGCTCGCTGAGGTGGAAGAGAGGTAGACAAATCCAGCGCTCCTTTCTGGCTAGCCACTTAATCTTTCAGAGTTTTGTGTTTGTTTTGTTTGTAAAAAAGGCTGTTGATTCTTAGTTTGGCAGGGTTGCCCTGGGGTTTTAGCGAGACAACGTAAGGCAGTGTCTGGCGCTTAGTAGATTTGTTTATCGTGGATCCCTCAGTCCCTAGGCCTTCCCGGGCCGTCTTTTATTTTTCCTTCGCATCTGAGAAACGCCTCTCAAATCAGATTTCGGTAATGGGTTCGGATGTTTGTGGCGTGAGTTGACCGGTTGTGGCGTGAGTTGACCGGTTTACTGTGTAAGTTTGTTGTGTTAGCATCAGAGGCATTTATTGCCGTTCTTTTTTTTTTTTATTTTAAGAAGTGAAGGCGTTATTGATCGTCTCTGGTCCTTTCTCGTGTAGAGATGCTGCAAAGTTGCGGGCTGCCCAAGGGGCTCTTGTGGGTCTTTGCAACCATACTCAAGACGCCTGTTACATGAGAGGGAAAACTAAAATGCTGCATAAAGACTTTGAAGAATACTGTTGCCAGTTATTTCTCTCCGAAAGTGTTGACAAAATTATAAGAATTAATGGCAACATAGGACATTCATGGGGAAATCTAATGGGTGTGGATGATATTGCAACGTATAGAAAACTTGCAACGCTGTGTGGAAACGAAGCAAAAAAGGGTTTTATCAGTTAACAAAATATGATTGTTAACAGCGCATAGGCCCTGTCTGTTTCTGAGTGCTGCAGATTAACCACTGAACAAATGAATGTTTAGCTTTTTCTTTAAGATTCTTTAAGGGGAAGATTTTACAACATCTGATTTGTTTGCGCCATAGTATCTAGATTTTTCACTATCACCACATTGTCAGAAATCTAAATGTGAGCAGTGTATTGAAAACATGGTGGTTTCAGGATTCAAACTTGGTGTATTGTAGTGAACTTGAGGTAAATTTTTTCTGTGTACGACTTGATTTATCCCTGTTATCAAAGATAATTACAGTGCCCAAGTTTCATAATTTCAGCAGTGTTAAACTGAACAACTGAATATATTTAATTGTTTTGAAATGTAACATAATAAAAAAGGGAAGGTGAGAAATAATTTATGGTGTATTACCTTTTATGTAAAAGAAAATATATGGTAACATATCATATATGAATGCATGTGTATGTATAAGCACACACATAGCACTTGTTTGGAAGGATGTATAAGAAATTGATTTATAGTGGTTGTTTCTAGGGAAGGGTATAAGGGAGTCAGTAATGTTAATGAGACTTGTCCTTCCTACTGCTTAAAGTTTTTCCATGAAGAATTTCTTATTTCTTTTTCCTATTAAATTAAATAAGTGGTGGTGATTAATTTGAGATGGTTAATTTAGTCCGAGCACTTCCATGTTGGTGGCATGCGTTTTGTGAATTGGCATCAGAATCAACTGAGTTCCTACTCTAGACAATTGAATACCATGGATTGGATGATGATTCTGACATCCTGCTGGCTTTGGGAAAATTTGATAAGGTCATGTTGTATGTTTACATATAATTGCTAGCGGGGAAAATTTTTATGTTAGTTGTTAACCTTAAAGGCAGATAGATGACTGACATCTAATAAGTAATATTTCACAAACTGTATTTTTCTGTGACTTTCCTTACAGGTACACCAGGCGTTGGAAAAACCACACTAGGCAAAGAACTTGCATCAAGATCAGGACTGAAATATATTAATGTGGGTGATTTAGCTAAAGAAGGTAAGGGATACTTTGGTGTTAGATTTGCTTTAAAAAAAAAAAGCTAGATTTTGAGGGCCTACTTTGTGACCTGCCAAGAATATTGGAGTTGGTGTTGTGAGAGGGTAAAAAAGGCAAAGAGAGTTGCCGTTAAGAAATTTATGCTGTGTTGGGAACCCCTAGAAATAGAAAATGTTAAATGTCTTTTGGTATGTCCTGACTGTTTCGATCATCTTCCCCCCAATTGGCTAGCAGTTCTCATAAACAAAATAATTGAGAAGGCTTCAAAGCCTTTAATTAACTTAGGATAAATAGAATTTGAATATGAGGAAAAGGGGGAGAATGTTTTGAGTTGGGCGAACACTCTTTCCCCTAACCTTTTATCACTCCCTTATTTGTGTCTTCATCTTTTTATATTTTACAGTGTTTTTTACAGGATAGGAACTCAATAAATAAGGGGAATTTTAAGCATGCCTTATTGAAATTAAAGAAATTTAACATACATTAATTTTTTTTTTTTTTTTGATTCCTGAAAATTGCTACTAAAGTAACTCAGGTTTGATCTAATGTACATATTTCTTTCAAATGATCTAAAGTCTGATCACCAGATATCATGGAGTCTGGCAAGATGACTTCTCCCAAGAGCATGCCGAAAGATGCACAGATGATGGCACAAATCCTGAAGGATATGGGGATTACAGAATATGAGCCAAGAGTTATAAATCAGATGTTGGAGTTTGCCTTCCGATACGTGACTACAATTTTAGACGATGCAAAAATTTATTCAAGCCATGCTAAGAAAGCAACTGTTGATGCAGATGATGTGCGATTGGCAATCCAGTGTCGTGCTGACCAATCTTTTACCTCTCCTCCCCCAAGAGATTTTTTATTAGATATTGCAAGGCAAAGAAATCAAACCCCTTTGCCATTGATCAAGCCATATTCAGGTCCTAGATTGCCACCTGATAGATACTGCTTAACTGCTCCAAACTATAGACTTAAATCCTTACAGAAAAAGACATCTGCTTCTGCAGGAAGAATAACAGTTCCGCGGTTAAGTGTTGGTTCAGTCACTAGCAGACCTAGTACTCCCACACTAGGCACACCAACCCCACAAACCATGTCTGTTTCAACTAAAGTAGGGACTCCAATGTCCCTTACAGGGCAAAGGTTTACAGTACAGATGCCTGCTTCACAGTCCCCAGCTGTAAAAGCATCAATTCCAGCAACATCGACAGTTCAGAATGTTCTCATTAATCCATCATTAATTGGGTCCAAAAATATTCTTATTACCACTAACATGGTGTCATCACAAAATACAGCCAATGAACCATCAAATGCATTGAAAAGAAAACGTGAAGATGACGATGATGATGATGATGCTGATGATGACAACTATGATAATTTGTAATCTAGCCTTGATGCATGTAACATGTATACTTAGTCTTAAATCTATTCTGCTGAAATTAAACATGCATGCTGGATATTTTCAAGTTGTGTCTTAGAAATCTTAATTAGCATTTAATGAGTAAACATAATTATACTTTTCAATGGAGATGTTGGATTTTTTTTTTTTAATATGCTTTTTCATCAGCCTTTAAGTGTAAAAAAATAAAATTGTTCATCAATTTGATTGTTGGTATTTTGGAAATTCTATTTTTAGAAGCCGTTTCCCCTCTCATTATCACCAACAGTTGCAACAAGTTGACGCTGTTTCAGTCTTATCGCCAGTAGAATGTCATCTCTGTTGTCTTCAGATGTTTAGATCACAGTAGCATCTGGTGTACAATCTTGTGGTCAGTTAACTCAAATTTCTGAAGTATAACCACATTTCCTTTTGGGAGAGACCATATAGGATTTTATTCATAGTGAATCCTCATCTGCTTCAATTTATTTTCTTCAGTTGCCCAACTTCTTCCTTTGTCCCATTTTTCCATGCCGTTGATTATATTTAAAGGCCCTTGGTGTTTCCCAGTATCTTTTTTTTTTCCGCATTGTTTTCCCCAGTATTCGTTTTTGCAGGTCAGTTTGGAGCATCTTTGTTTACTCTAAATCAGTACCCTACTCATATTTTTAATCCAGGTCTGCCATTTAGTTTATAGTTTCTAAAAAGTTGGATCTTTATTTTCTTTTGTATGTAACTAGGCATTCTCCTTGGTAGCACAGTGGTTAAGAGTTCAGTTGCTAACCGAAAAGGTCAGCAGTTCAAATCCACCAGCCAGTCCTTCGAAACTATGGGGCAGTACTACTCTGTCCTATGGGGTCGCTAAGAGTCAGAATCAACTCGATGCAACGGGTTTGGTTTTTTTGGGGTTTAGGTATTTTCCACTTCAGATCCATATGAAAACTGGTTTTGTTCCTTACCTATTGAATTTCACTGTTTTTGACAAATGATTTCAGAGTCATATGCAGTAGTCAGTTTTCAGTTTTCCAGTTCTAATCTGTCCCACTCAGTTTAACATTTCTAAATTTAATGAAGTTACTTTATCATGAGTAGCATTGAGGGGAGCAGTAACACCAGACCAAGGACAATCCACTTTGAGATGCTTGTCTTCCTCTTCTCTGGGTTTTATCCTACATATACTCACCATTTTAACCTAATGATAGGATAGCCGTGACCA